CTATGGTCTCTGTCCATCTGTGTGTCTGGATTTCTGCATGTCTCACTGTGTGTCTTTGTTTTTGGATAATATTGCTGAGGTTAGTTTCTAAGTGAGATCTAATTCACTTGGCTTTACAAAAGAAAAAGTAAGCACTTACAAATCAAACAGTTACAAGAAATTAAATGAATTTCAGATGCACATGAACTGGGAAATATTCAACATTAAATATCTAGTATTAACGTTTGTTTACTCATCTAAGACATGAGTTGAGTCATCAAATTATGTAATGCTTTTTTTGTATTACACTGATTACTGAGAGTTCAATCCCTGTGTTGGAAAGATCCCTGGAGAAGTAAATGGCAACCCATTTCACTATTCTTGCCTGGAGAATCCCATGGACGGAGGAGCTGGCAGGCTACAGTCCATGGGTTTGCAAAGAGTCATACATGTCTGAAGCGACTTAGCACACACATAGTCACTGATTACTGATAATTTCCTCTCATAGAGAAACTAAAGAGATTTTGGATTATTAATGAATATGTTTGCTGCTACCCTGAGATGTTCTCCATAAGAAATCAAATGTTTTTAGAAGTTATCACTGGTATTTATGGTCACCAGTCCAAAAAATTCTAATATAAAGGACAGTTCATGGTTGCTTAAGGAAAGTAAGATCCGTGTTTTTAGTAACAAAAGGTATGAGCAATGAAATTGATTTGGGATGCTCATAGCAGTGAGTGGGAGTGAGCGGAAGCTGGAAGCAAGTTCTTAATTTCCAAGATCGAGACTCCTAACCCCTGGACCACAGGAGCCAACATTTAGGGCTATGGTCCCTAGTCTGGCCTGCCTAGTCAGGAACAAATTCAGATGATGAGGCAGAAGATAAAGAGTAAAGGAAAAAGTTTATTGAAAGAAAAAGTACATCTGGCAAGGCACATGGGCAACCTCAGAGAGAGAGAAGCCTTTAGGAAGTGTAAATTCTTTACAAAGGGGCAGTTTTCCGGGTCTTCATCTTCCCTCAGGCCAATCACCTTGTTTATTCGCCCTGGTTCATTAGTCTCAGGACCCTCCCTGGAGTGTGCATGCACACCTTAGCCAAGTTGGATCTCAAAGTGAAGGCTTCTGGGAGGAGCAAGACTCATTATGGCCTGGAATTATCCTGTGAGTTTTGACTCCAAGCAGCCTTTCTGGGCATGTCTCCCTTAACAAACAGGGTTTTATCTTTTCTTTGTCCTTGCCATAATTATTCCCTGAGATTAGAGAATGACTGTCTATTTACCCTGTTTTTGTTGGGTGTAAATTCCTCAATTGGAGCCCACGTATCTCACGGAATGCAAAGGGGAAGATGACAACATTCAAGACATTTAACATGGAGGCCATCAGTCTCCTACCAGAAAATTGCATTTTTTTAGGGAGAAAGAAAGAAGGTCTGACTTATAGGTGGCTATTTCTAAATGAAGAAAATTATTTAATTAGAAAGAAAAAAGAGTTTTTGTTCTAAGTGGACCCCTAGGAAAAGAGGTCCCAAAAGGCAAAGTCTTTATATGATCTATAACAATCTGTCATTTGACTCCTGTCAGTGTTGTTGCTTGACTATGGGAAGCATGTGATGAGGTGTTTCAAAGGGATCTGTTTCCTCTTTGTCCCCCTTCTGCGCTGGATTCCATCAGATGCCTGCTTTTTGGTCCATGTAGAACAGCGCTGACACCTCCAGAGTTTATTTTGGACCCAGCCTGGTTTTGTTCCTATTTGCTGCACTTGGGAGACCTCATTGGAAGAAGGGAAAAGACTGGCAGCTCTTCGATTGCATTTGGTGTCTCAGACCCTACACAGAGCTGCCTTCAACCTGTCTTCCTGTTCAGAGCCCTCAGCTGTTCCTGTTGTGACTTCTTTTGCCACATCCTTCAGGGGTGTGTGTAACAGGAATGTGGTTTGGATCTTCTGTGATTGTAACTCAGGAAACCTGGAAGGACACTGGACATTGAGGTCCTCTCTTGGACAGGACCTGAATTGATGTGTTGTTGGTGCCTTGGAAACCATTTCCAGGAGTAAGACAATTACACAGGTCAGTTCTTGCGTCTGATCTGAAGTTTCCTTTTTACACTCCTGGTGTTCACTGTAACTTTTTGTCCTCTGTTCTGCCCAAGTGGGCCCTGGTGGTTCAGAGCATGTATGAATCTGTAAGTCTCGGTTTCAGTCCTGCTTTTGCTCATTTACTTTCATGTTCCATGGAGCTGTGTACAGGAACCCTGTGAATCCACTACCTTTGTTTGTAAAATTGAGGTAATTAGTGCTGTTAGGTGGCATAGAATGTTGCCTGTTTTACAGAAAAGGTCAGAAGTTGCTTTTTTTTTTTTTTTTCATTTATTTTTCTTAGTTGGAGGCTAATTACTTCACAACGTTTCAGTGGGTTTTGTCATACATTGACATGAATCAGCCATGGAGACTTTTTTTTTTTTGCTGAGTCATGTGGCAGGTGGTATCTTAGTTCCCCATTCCTGGATGGAATCTGTGCCCCCTCCAGTGCATGTACATAGTCCTAACGACTGGACCACCAGGGAATTTGCCTCAAAGATTACTTTTGCTTAAAGAATATATTTACTTCCTGTCTTGCTTATTGTGACATCTCTTTGTCTACTTTGCATCTTGTATGTTTTTATTTTACTTTTTATTTTTATGAGTGTTGTCTCTGACTCTAGTTAATATGTTTTCAAATAATACTTATTTTTTTAAAGCAATGTATTACTTTAAAAAAACTTTTTTTTTTTTTTGCATTGAGTTTTTGTTGCTTCAGGGGCTTTTCGCTACTTGTGGCAAGCAAGGGCGACTCTCTAGTTGCAGTGCATGGACTTCTCATTCTTATGCCTTCTCTTGTTGCAATGTGTGGGTTCTATGCCTGTGCTCAGTTGTTGTGACTCCCGAACTCTGGAACAAGGAGATGTGGCCTACAGGCTTAGTTGCTTCAAGGTATGTGGGAACTTCCCGGATAAGGGATCAAACCCTTGTGTGTTAATTAGCAGGTGGATTCCTTACCTCTGAGCCACAAGGAAGGCCCCAAAGCTTGTTCCTTGACATATATCTTGGAACCAACGAACTGAGTACGTTAAAGTTACTGTATAGATAGGGAATTGCTGTACTGAATGACTGTTCTTTAAGTAGAGAATATTCCATTTGTTAATTTTTTGCTATTTAAAGATGATCGTATTTATGTATTACACAATGTAACTGACATGAACCACTTGTTAATGTCATAAAATGCCCATATGTTTATCTACTGATAGATTTATAAGAGGTATTTAGACAAGTTTTCTTTTTTTTTTTTACATTATTGTAGGGAATTCCCTGAACAGTTGTCAGCTGCAATTTATGTTTTCCATTATTCATTAAAGTGCTTCTTTTGGATTAGTTACCATTACAGTTTATTACCTGTTAATGAATACTTGCTTAGTCGATCATTCTGTCTGACTTTTTGTGATCTCATGGACAGTAGCGTGCTAAGCTCCTCATCCATGGAATTTTTTTTAAGGCAAGAATAGCTCAGTGGGTGCCATTTCCTTCTTCAGGGGATCTTCCCCACCTAGGGGTTGAAGCTCCCTCTCCTGTGTCTCCTGCATTGGCAGGCTAATTCTTTACCACCAAGTCACCTGTGTAGCCCTGTCTGTTCTTTACCAATTATTTATGTATAAGTATGCATAACGTGTGCAATATACTATTTTTTCTTCTCAATTATGAGACAGCAGTATGTTTCCTACCAAGTAGAATGAGCTTTAGAGGTCATGGTGTAAAAATACCCTTTTCTTTGAGAACTGACATGAGTTTGGATAAAATGAATATGTTCTGAGTGTATCTTTGAAGCTAGGCTATCCTAAAACTAGTTTGGATCACATGTGATTGCTCTTTCATTTTTGAAGAGTTCTATTTGTTGAGCATTTCAAATATTTTTAAGAGCATCGTTGGGAAGATGCATAATTCTGTTCAGGATGGGTATGACTTTTGGTATAGTACCATGTATTCACCATGAGACAATTTATTTATGATTGTAATTGATAGAATACATATGGTGTTTTATACCTTGTAGATGTGTCTCAAATACATATGATCAAGAAATAACAGGCAAAAGGAAACAGTGGTAAAGAAGAAATTTTTCAAAGAGTGGTGTTTGGAAGATCCAAAAGCCGTGAAATCAAAGATTTTTTCCTCAGGAAGATATGAGGAAATATGCATGATTTTGAGTCTCTGTGGACAGATGATGAAAGAAATGACAGAGAAACGTCTATATCCCACAGCAAAAATCTCACCGATAGAAGAGATCATGATAGTAGAAGTGATACAGGAAATAAGCCTGTTGAAAGGCATAGATCAAGCTTTCAAGATCAGTTGCAGATACTTAAATCTGAAGGGACAGTTTCTGAATGTAGTCAGGTTGAGGCGAATATCAACAGTAGCACCTCAGGTTTACCGCCTCAGAGAACTCGTAGTGTCCATAAAGGCAATTCTCATAAACATAAGAGTGCTGTTATGCATCCCTCAGAACTGGGACCAGACCAGGAAGCACACAAGATAAAAACTTACAGCTGTAATGAGTATAACGTAACTTTTCTTCAGGACTCAGAACTCACTAGACATCAAAGGATCCATACAGGAAGAAAAGCATATAAATGTAACATATGTTGTAAGACTTTTAATGATAAATTGACCCTTGTAGTTCATCAGAGAAATCATACTGGAGAGAAACCATATAAATGTGATGTATGTGGCCACTGCTTTAAACAGCATACACACCTTCAACATCATCGGCGAGTTCATACTGGAGAGAAACCATATAAATGTGATGTGTGTGGAAAGACCTTTAGTCAAAAAGCAAGGCGTACAGTTCATCAGACTCTTCATACTGGAGAGAAACCGTATACATGTGAAGTATGTGGCCATGGCTATACTCGAAAGTCACACCTTGGAATTCATTGGAGAGTTCATACCGGAGAGAAACCATATAAATGTGATGTATGTGGCAAGGCCTTTAGTGTAAATGCAAGGCTTGTAGTTCATCAGAGACTTCATACTGGAGAGAAACCATATAAATGTGATGTGTGTGGCAAGGCCTTTAGTGTAAATGCAAGGCTTGTAGTTCATCAGAGAGTTCATACTGGAGAGAAACCATATAAATGTGATGTGTGTGGCAAGGCCTTTAGTGTAAATGCAAGGCTTGTAGTTCATCAGAGAGTTCATACTGGAGAGAAACCATATAAATGTGATGTGTGTGGAAAGGCCTTTACTCGCAAAGAAAGCCATGCACTTCATCAGATCCTTCATACTGGAGAGAAACCATATACATGTGAAGTATGTGGCCATGGCTATACTCAAAAGTCAATATTTTTAATTCATCGGAGAATTCATACCGAAGAGAAACCATATAAATGTGATGTATGTGGCAAGGCCTTTAGTGTAAATTCAAGGCTTGTCGTTCATCAGAGAGTACATACTGGAGACAAACCATATAAATGTGATGTGTGTGGAAAGGCCTTTAGTCGAAAAGCAAGGCGTACAGTTCATCAGACCCTTCATACTGGAGAGAAACCATATACATGTGAAGTATGTGGCCGTGGCTATACTCGAAAGTCAATACTTGTAATTCATTGGAGAATGCATACTGGAGAGAAACCATATAAATGTGATCTGTGTGGCAAGACCTTTAGTCTAAATTCAAGGCTTGTAGTTCATCGGAGAGTACATACTGGAGAGAAACCATATAAATGTGATGTGTGTGGAAAGGCCTTTAGTCAAAAAGCAAGGTGTACAGTTCATCAGACCCTTCATACTGGAGAGAAACCATATACATGTGAAGTATGTGGCCGTGGCTATACTCAAAAGTCAAAACTTGTAATTCATTGGAGAATTCATAGCGGAGAGAAACCATATAAATGTGATGTATGTGGCAAGGCCTTTAGTGTAAATGCAAGGCTTGTGGTTCATCGGAGAGTTCATACTGGAGAGAAACCATATAAATGTGATATGTGTGGAAAGGCTTTTAGTCGAAATTCAGGCCTTGTAGTTCATCAGAGAGTTCATACTGGAGAGAAACCGTGTAAATGTGATATATGTGGACAGGCCTTTCGTCGAAATTCAATCCTTGTAATTCATCGGATAATTCATACTGGAGAGAAACTTTACAAATATAACAATTGGGACAAACATTTTAGTGCACAGTCATCCTTAAACTGCCATCAGGCAGTTCATACAGGAGGAAAAGTGTAGAAATGTAATTTATGTGGCAAAGTCTTCAGTTCCAGGTCTTGGCAGTTCATTTGAAACATATTGGAGAGAAACCATATAAATAATTATCTATATGGTAAGCCCTTTAGTCAGACTGCAAACCTTGCATTTCATCAGAGAATTCATCCTGGAGAGAAACCATATAAATGTGATCTCAGTGGCAAGGCCTTTAAATGCAAACCTTGCAGTTCATTGGAGAATTCATACTGGAGAGAAACCTTACAAACGTAACCATTCTGACAAACGTTTTACTGCACAGCTAGCCTCACCATCATGCAGTTCATGCAGGAGGGACAGCATAGAAATGTGATGTATGTGGACAGTGCTTGAAATGACCATCTAAGAAATCAGATAATTCATAGTGGAGAAAAATGTTACAAAGACAACCATCATGAGAAACATTTTAGTGCAGATGTAGTGAGTGTAGCAAAGCCTTTAGTCAGAGTTCAGGCCTTATAATTAATCAAAGAATTCATACTGTATAGAAACCATACAAATGAAAGAAATACGGTAAAGCTTCTAGTGCATGTTCAGCCTCAACTGACCGTTGGGCATTTCATACAGGAGGGAAGCCACATAAATGGAATTTATATGACAAATCCTTCAGTCATAAAGTATATCAACTTTTTGACCCTCAGAAAAGTCAAACTAGAGGAAACCTCCTGAATGTGGTAGGTGGGGCAAAGCTTTGGTTCTGTGTTCAGACATAACTAACCATCCCGTAATTAATTCTGAATGGAAATCTTACCCACATAGTGCATGAGGTAAGTCTTTTGGAAGGCATTCAGTTATTTACAAAACATGAGAAAATTCATACTGGTGAGAATCCATACATTTAGAGCACAGTCCATCTCTCCAATCTTAACATTAAGATTGGAGGAAATCACGTAAATATACTGTGTGTGGCCAGGGCTTCAATAACATATCTCACCTTTCCCATCAGCAGAGAATTCATAATGCAGACACAAATGTAAGAGTGTGGCAAATCCTTCAGGTGGCATTCAGGCCTCAAAAGACATCGGGTGATGGACTGGAGAGACCATCCGAATGCAATCAGTGTGTCCAGGCTTTTGTCGGGTGTTTACACCTTAGGCTTCTTGAGAATTTTCACACTGGATAGAAACTATATCAATGTAATGAATGTGTTAGGGCTTTTAGGCAACAATCCTAAGTCAGGATTCAGTAAAGAAGTCATTCTGGAGAGAAAGCTTAACAAGTGACATGAGTGTGTAAAACCTTTACTTGGGGCTCACATTGCACTAGCCTTCAGATGATCCATACTAGAGAGAATCTTACCAGTGTACAGAATATAGCAAGACTTTTAGGTACTGCCTTAAACTACCTTAAATTCCTCAAATACTTTATACTTTGGCAGTTTTACACTTTACTTTATGCTTTATGGAGGTATTCACAGTTACTGCTCCCTCTTTAGGTGTGTAAGAATATATATCCTGGAGTTAAACCACACAAATATAATATTTGTGGGAAGGATTTTACCAAACATCCAAGTTTGGGAACATTCTGGAGCAATGCTCAAATGCAATGGGAGTGGGAAAATTTTCACCTTGAGTTGAAGTCTTAGACAAGACTCCATAGTGAAGAGGAGTCTTGGAAACGGATGGGCAAGGGCTTTCTGGAGGGTTCAGAGTACGCTAGACTTCAGAATATATCTTTCCGAGAAACCACACAAAAGTAATGTACACACTGAAGCTTTAACTCAAAGATCAAAACCATGGAACATGAGAGGAGAGCAAACTTGGACAGGTAATGAACATTGTGTAGTCTGTTCCATAAAGAAGTGATTCATGTGTGTCAGAAACTGTACACTATACTGAATTTGGAAACATGTTTGAGAAAACAATATTTCTCAAGATTCCTCCCCCAAAATTCATATTGGAGAGAATCCTTATAATTGTAATGAATTTGGCCGTCTTTTGTGACAGTTCTAACAACAGATCACAGAAGAGATAATTCATTTGAGGGATAAATAAATCAGTTCTCCAGCACTAACCTATGATATAACTGCAGAATAATTATGTTGAAACTTAATCACATGTATGGAAATGGCCCATTATCTTCAGTGTGTGTTTAATTACTTGAATTTTCTTGAGAATGTCACATTATTGTTCTTTATGACATTTCATGAAAGTTTTAAATTCTTATAGCTTTCTTAGAGACTTTCATGATGGTCTCTGCAAAGAAATCAATAAGATAAAGGGGCTGACTTCATTAGGTGTGGTTCATTTATATCTATCCTGGTAAAACAGCGACACTGAGATATAATCAGTGGTGTGTGAATTAGGATCAGCGAGGGACAGGGAACCATGTAAAACCATGACATGACTCAGCATGCTCTTTATGTTCAGGGTGCCCTTCTGTACACAGGTCCCCGTGGTTAAAGGACTGAATGCTCTACCATCTGACCATGCCAAGAACAGGCTGGACATTGAGGGGCTTGGGCTTTTCATGGGAGGGGGGTTGACAGGTTGCTGGGGACTGATTGTGTGGGAGAAATAGTACCAGGGAAATGGTGGTCCTTTCCTCCCTTAACTAGCAATTGCTGTTGTGTGTAAATGATTAATGGAAGCTTATTCTTGGAAATTGAAGAGAGCAGTTTTCTTGAAAAATGTTAATCAAAAGAACCAGAAACAGGATGTGGGTGTATCTGCTTCATCATTACCTGCTGCCATTTACAGTGCGCCTTTGTTTTATTCAGAATGTATCATAAGTCTTGTGCACTAATAAAATTTGTATCATTTTTTCCATAACTCTGAATGGATCATGTTTCTTCCAACAACACAGTTTTAATCCACCTCAGTACATCATAACAGAAACTAGCAATGCCCCAAAGACTCTCAAGGTTGAAAGAATCTTCAAGAGTTTCTTTGCACAGTGAAATCAAAGACAATTTTGGGATTATATACTAACAATACATACTTCAGTTATTCTGTCCACACTTTGTCCATAGCGGAGCAATTATAGATTCTGGCCCTGTAAAACCTACCCCCCGTTTGTATGTGCACTATATGATATTTCCCAGTGTTATCTTTTGTACCCAAATTAAAAGTATGTGCCTTATTTACATGAAGTGAAAATAGGAATAAAAATCATGCAAAAATTAGAAAATAAAAAACTTTGGAAATAAGGGTAAAAGTGACGTGTCTTTTAGAGCTTGGAGCATTCTGGAAAAAAAATATTTTTTTTGCTTATTTATTGTTGGCTGAATAATTGTGGCTCATGGGGTCAGGAGCGCTACAGCATATGGGGATTTCCCAGACCAGGAATTATCAGTCCCTTGTCTGCTGCATTAGTGGGCGAATTCCTTACTGCTGAGCCACCACGGAAGCCCTGGAAATAATTTAGAAGGCACACTGTATGATGGGAGCTTTTCTTGTTTGCTAAACTAGAAATTTCACATATTCAGCCCCCAGCATTTTGGTTCTTGTTACTTTGCAGTCCCCCAGTGGAACAAGATGGCACTAAATAAAATCTAAAGATGTCAGTAGGCAAACATCAAAAAAACACTGTGAGACTGTTTAACCAAACACTGAATGTTCACTAGTGCTTTGAATTTATTACATTCCTTTTCCTGCTGTACACATATTTTCCATTGTTCTATATGGTGTTGAAGATGGTATAAATTATTAATCTATTTTACTAGACAGATAAATTGCTATTGACTGTCCATTGCCTGTGACATTTTTACACTAGCCTAAGAACATTAGGAACATTGATGCTTGGAAATATTTATTAGGTAATAAATAGAAGTCCAGAGGATATTAAATTCTTGATGTCACATTATAGAATTAAGTAATATGCTCCATTGTTCATATTCTTAGATGTATTTAAAAACAATTTTTTTTTTCAATATTGTGATGGTTTTTGCTCTGCATCAACAAGAATTGGCCATAGACATACATATGTCCCCTCCTTTCTGAACCCACCTCCCTCCCCACCCTATCTGTCCAGGTCTTCACAGGGCACTGGCTCTGTCTGGGTGCCCTGCTTCATACATCAAACTTCCACTGGCTATCTATTTTACAAATGACAATATATGTTTCAGTGCTATTGTTTCAAATCACACCACCCCATTTGTTTTTTCAATAGTTTTTCCTTAGCGTAATATTTTCTGTCTGCATTTTGTGACCAAGATTTAATGTATACATTTCTTCCCTGCCTTACTCTTAACAAATCCACGTCAGTGGGTTGTTTTGAGCCTTTTAGAACATGAAAATGCACATACATAAGACAGTGACGGGACATAGTAGGTACCCTATAACTATGAAAATTCCCTTAGGACTTGACTTAATACACAAAAATATTTACAGTTAATACACAGAAATATTTACAAATAGTGCATAGTTGATAATTGTGGTGAAAATAAATTCTAATGCCTTCTGAAAACATATTTTACACTCTGCTTCATTGTCCACATGTGACAGTGCTTCCAGACAACAAAGAAAAGAGAAAAATAGATTTTTTTTTTTAAGTAAATTGCCTCAGTTCAGTTCAGTTCAGTCGCTCAGTCATGTCCGACTCCTTGTGACCCCATGAATCGCAGCATGCCAGGCCTCCCTGTCCATCACCAACTCCTGGAGTTTACTCAAACTCATGCCCATCGAGTCGGTGATGCCATCCAGCCATCTCATCCTCTGTGGCCCTCTTCCCCTCCTTCCCCCAATCCCTCCCAGCATCAGGGCCTTTTCCAATGAGTCAACTCTTTGCATAAGGTGGCCAAAGTACTGGAGTTTCAGCTTCAGCATCAGTCCTTCCAATGAACACCCAGGACTGATCTCCTTTAGGATGGACTGGTTGGATCTCCTTGAAGTCCAAGGGACTCTCAAGAGTCTTCTCCAACACCACAGTTCAAAAGCATCAATTCTTTGACACTCAGCTTTCTTCACAGTCCAACTCTCACATCCATACATGACCACTGGAAAAACCATAGCTTTGACCAGACAGACCTTTGTTGGCAATGTAATGTCTCTGCTTTTTAATATGCTGTCTAGGTTGGTCATAACTTTCCTTCCAAGGAGTAAGCGTCTTTTAATTTCATGGCTGCAATCACCATCCGCAGTGATTTTGGAACCCCAAAAAGTGAAGTCTGACACTGTTTCCACTGTCTCCCCATCTATTTCCCATGAGGTGATGGGACCA